AACACTTCATCTATGGAATTGGTGCTCGCAAGTGATACGTTTTGTGTTTCCTCTTCTTTATTCTTTTCAACATCATTGCCCTTTTGATTCGTGGGCAAATCTGGGCACATGACACCCCAATGTCTTTTTGAGCATATCATACATCGTACATTTGTCTTACATTGCTTGGCCCTGTGTCCAATTTTGAGGTAGATAAAGCAAACCTCCTTTTTCTTAATTTCATCATTCTTTTGACTCAGAGGCATCTTCTGAGCAACAAAGCAATCTCGACTTTCATGAAATTTTTCACAAAATATGCAAGAATTCTTCTCACTATAATTGGTTGCTTTATTATGGCCTGAGAATAAATCATTTGCTGTAGGCACGAAATGTTCACTCTAGTTCCTTTTATCTCCTCTACTTTCTCTCTTAGCACCCAAATCAATTAATTTAAATCCAGCTTTTGCCAAAGAAATTCTCTGCTCTCCTTCCACTTCATTTTTTAAAAACAATAATAATTGTTTCAATTTCTCAGAGTGAGAATTTTCTGCTGTAATTATTGATGCATGATTTCTAATCCAAACTCGTAAAATTTCCTCGGGAATGCAAGATTCCACGAGCGGAAACAGCATTGCAGCATATTTATCGCTTGTCATTCCTATTGACTCCAACGAACGTAAATACGACTCTAACTTGTCATACAATTCTAATATACTGTATTTTCCATTTTGATCAGTGACATTTTTAATAATCAAACCTAATAATTCCCGAATATAGAATTCTACCAACAATTCTTCCGTGCCAAACCTATTTTTTAAGCTTACTATAACCTTTTCATAATTTTCGGCAGTTGCAGAGAAGCTGTTTACAATATCCCGTGGTCTCGGACTGGGTAGAGTCGCTTGAACGAGATAATGCATCTTATCCTCGTTTTGAATTTATTTATCTTCATGTATTCGCCGAAATTGCCCCCAAAATGGTAACCAATCTTTAATTTTGCCACCGAATTGTTTTAACTCTATTTTAGGTAATTTCAGTTTCCGTTTGTTCGAATTTGGTGGAACACTGAAAATGGATAGTGTCGTTTGGCGATTGAAGAATAACTCCATTTTTACTCGTATTAAATCTAATTTTTCTTTGTATTCTTCAATTTTCGCCCATTCATTTTCAAAATTGTCATTTGAAGAAAATTCCGAATTTAATATTTGAGTATCAAATGCATTAATTTCAACAGATAAACGTTCTAAAGTAACAAGATTCGTTTTTATGAATTCTTCATCAGGAATTTCCTTTCCTAATTCCTGCAAAATTGCATTAATTGTTCTCGTAAAAGATGCTCTGACAGGTTTTCGTTTCTCAATTAACGATTCCATTTCAATAAAAATAAATTCAATAAAGTCAAATAGAATTAAATTCGATAAAACCAATGAAATTACCTTGACTTGTTTTACCGATCACGTCCGAGTCACCAAAATTGTTCGAGATTTGCAAGAACTAACCGTTCTCCTTTCTCCTAATAAACTTAAAATAAAATAACTTTACATATAAAATTCTACAGCATCATATTTATTTTCAAAATTCGTAGAAATACAACAAACTACAACGAAAATCAGATGGTTGCCATTCTTACAGTGACAAACTATGAAAAGAAAAATAACAACTGAGGCTGGGTTCTAACAGATATTATTTTTATGCATTGTTCTAAATGTAAGGAGTAAATAAATTAATATGGTATTATTGTAAAATTGTTATTAGCAATGATTTAGTTTAAAGTAATTAGGATTGTAAGCTAATTTTTATTAATTTAATGTATGTGCTTATTTATATTTTAATTAGTGTTTTTTAATTTAATTATATTTTAATTAAATGATAGTTATTTTGTGAATTATATGTTTGTAGCAATTTGGTATACGTTTCATTGGAAGTAAACGTGCATGGAAATAATTTAAATATTTGACACTAAGTATTTGCAACCATTTTTAATGTTTGCGTTATAAATTCGTTGATGACGTTTATAATAGATAATTTAGAGGTAAAAGTTTTTGGATATTTTATTTATTTTATACGTGCAAATGTTCATCCTTGGAAAGGGTATATACTTTTTCGCGATCAGGTAATTTCATATATGTGCTTTTTACTTGAGTTTAAAGATTCACAAAATTTTCCTGCATTTTCGTTCAAATTTTAGTAATTTATGAGAAAATAGCAGTGTAGATGGATAAAGAGTGTGCGCAATGCCATTTTTGTGCAATTTTGGGATGTTTTTTTAATTTAAAAATAAGTCGACGTGTACACGGTTAGTGTGTATGTGCGATTGTGAAAAACGCGGCAAGGAGTTTGCGATTCTGCAATTTTCCCCTATTTTGCAGTTAATATTTGTCATGATTAAGCAGTTTTGTTCCATAAAATTTCTAGCATAAGTGTAATTCGGCTAGCAGATTGTTGTAAAAAGTGTTGAGTAAATAAAAAGAAAAGAAACATATCTTTATTTCGTGAAGACAAAACGGCGGCGAAAAAAATAGAGGGTTGCTGCAGCAGAGTTTGTCGCCAAAAAATTGCCAAGTTACCATAATCCAAAGATTAACCCAAAACTTTCTCTCCTTGTTTTACAGGTGACTACTTTGTTTTACACATTATAATACAACACGGCAAAGTACACAGACTACAAGCTCTGCTTTAGAGGCCATTGAAAATTAATAGATTTATTCATGCATTTTATTAAAAATACTTGTAGATTTAAATAATAGAAAAGGATAAAACAGTGTAATTAATTTTTTAGAAGCTATTAAATTAATTTGAAAGAATGTGTATGACATGGTTATTGGCTTGTAATAAAAAAATTATGTGTTAACCATAAGGCAATAAGAATGCATTATACAGTCAAAAGTTGTTAATCCGGACTCGTCAGGACTTCGGCGATTCCGGATTATCGATTTTTCCAGATTATAGATCATCAGTTTAAATCTCGTAAGATGGCATGCAGAAATTCTAAAATTAAAATATGAAACCGTAATTTATGAAATAAAGAACAATTATGATCTAAAGGGTATCAAAATTTACAAAAAGAAAAAGCTTAATATTTATTTGTTTACTTTATTAAACATTTCCTTCAATGTAAGTTGCTTCGTTTCATGTGATAATACTTTCTCTTTAATTCTATAAACAGACATAATTTCTTGTTCAGTTACAAAGATACGCTGTTCAAGTCCCGTAACTGCTGTGCCGAGAATACCGACTAACTCATCAATCGAAATTTTTTCGTTTTCACTAACCTCTCTGTCACCTTCTTCATGTCTTTATCCATTTTTCGCAGAAATTCCACTTTTTGTTTGACGGACATCGAAACATACTTTCGTTTTGTAGATCCTTTGGGAGCTCCAGCATCGGAAATTTTATTTGACATAATCGAAAGTTCAAGTTTACTTTTATAAAATTGCTCTTACAGTCTGCAAAAAATAATAAGCCGCATCCAATTCGAAGATTAAGGAACAATGCAATCATCAACATTAACTGAAATAGATAATTAGATAATTTTAGCTTATACCGTCCGTTATACATTAAACACGCACGCGAAAATGTATTCTGCGCTTGCAGCGTATGTGTCAACGCGGCGCATGCGCAGAAAGTTTTTTAGCTTTGAGGTCCGGATTATGGGTGTCTGAATTAATGACTTTTGACTGTACATCCACATTATTTAATTCAATAACATGTAACCACATAACATTTCGCAATTGTATATCTTTTAGAAACAAAGGCAACTGTGCACTGATAGAAACAGCAAAACTGCAACTCGTAGAAACCAAAAAACCATTATGTATGTTGTTAGAAATACCAAACAAACAAAAAAAAAAAAAAAAAGAGGGAGAAGATATGTATTGTTAGAAAAGGAAAAGCAATTATATAATGTTTTTTATTTTCTCAACAGAGATCATAAATCTAAAACAGATTAAATAACTGTAATAAAACTGTTGTTAAATTTGAATAGCCTCTTAAACAGAGTCGTAGCTAGGGTTTTCAGCGCCTAGGGACAACTGAAGATTTCGCGCCCCCTACTGCTTGCCAAGGATGGAAAACATTTAATTCTAAAATGTTGTAACATCAGTTTGGCGCCCCTTGGATTCTGCACCCGGGAACAGATGCCCCCCTTGCCCCCCTCTAGTTACGCCCCTGCTCTTAAAATATTACCTGCTTCATAGCATACATACAGATTTATATTCAAAAGACAAGTGAATGAAAGAATGTTAGTGAATAAATTAATGAAGAATTAATTCTAAAATGAACTGAATTGACTGAATCATTCTAAAATAAATTAATGAAGAATTAATTATAACATATCATCGCTAATGAGGAATTCATATTATGCTTTTCACCAGATTTCATTTCTCAAGATAAAAAATATCATGTTATTCCTAGAATGTAAACTGTAATAGTATTTGTTTTAACAGTACAATCTTTGTTTAAGCAAACAGAAAAATACAGTTCACTTGCAATAGAATAAATATGTATCCCCCCTCCTACAAAAATTTACCCATGTTTATCCACTTAGAACAGTTAAAGAGTACTGTCAAATTAATCTCGAGTTTAACTGAATAGAGTTACAGTAATATAAAACTGTTGTAGTAATCTATTTTAACTGAATGCAGTTATAATAAGTTAGGATTTTCTAAATTATAGTAAGTTATAGTAATTGAATTTATGTGCAAGCTTTCCACGAGATTCTGAAGGAAAGACATGTTTTTATTTCAGTAATATTAAATGTCCATTTTTAAATAGTAACATTCCTTTCTAACTATCAGTTTAACAATCATTCGAACTGCTTATGAAATCTGAAATTTTAAAAACAGTATATAACGCACTTTTAAGGAAATTCACCTAATTTCTGCAAAACTTCCTGTATGTAATTTTATTTACTCTAATATATGTTCAAATTCATAAACTAATTTTATAAGCAATTTGAGAAATGGATGGTGCTGCAAGCAATGAAATGAATTAATGAAAACCACGAATAAATATATACTTACTTTGGGTCTACATAAACTTCTTGCATGTAACCCTTCTCTGTTTTAATGGTTCGAGTAGGTCTATAAAAAGAAAATATGATTTAGTCAACATAAAAGTTTATGTTCTCAACTTTAAACAAAAATAATAAGGCAAAAGTTTTAAATATCATAAAAGCCTTTCGTGAAACAAAACGTGTACTTTTACTGCAATTCATCACACATGGTAAATCAAATACACAACTAATAAATAAGAATAAACGCACTCAAAATATATTATTAAAAGGTATAAGAAATGAAGAGTGATAATGCAAGCAATACCTTCAACACTGGAACATATAACACATCAACAATTTTAAGATTTCGTTTTTTTCTCGTTGAAAAACAGGTACAGAAAATGTAACAAAATTTATAAAAAAAAATTATCAAGTTATGAATTCCGTAACAATGGCTCAATAAATTTATTTAAAATACAGTTATTAAGTTATTACTCCACTAAACATTTTTTACTCTTCAATGATCTGCAAATTTCACTTCACAACTTAAGGTAACAATACACTTTAATTAATGTTAATCTATGTACATAAAGAAGGAATTATAAAGAATACTAGTTAAAACGGAATTAATTAAAGCACGTCTGATAATACTTAGGATTTTTCAGACTATTAAACATAAATAATATTTTTCCATTCGAAATGATATTGTAAACTAGGAGAATAAACGATAAATTTAGAGAAAGACTTAAAAACTTTTTAAATATTAAGAATTTATAGATTTTGAATACAATGAAAGCTGGTTTAGGCCATAGCAACCACTACTTCCTGCTTAGCACGGTAATCACGCAAAGGGAAATTTTCAACCAGGGTTGGTTCGTGAACTGGAAAGGAAGAAGTATAGGCATGTAGATTCGATCGGTAGATGTTATTTTTGTGTTCTTACCTGCCATCTAAATCTTCATCAAGCATATCCATGTGGTCAAAGGTAAATATTTTGAATTTGCCAGGAAGTAATGTGGTAGTGATCACGGGGACAAACAACAGGTCATGTGAGTCGCAAATATGAACATGTGACAATATGGCGCTTTTCCCACTTAGTTGCAAGTCAGCGCAGTAAAAATGTTCATGCGCCGCCCCTAAACTTAAAAATTCTGTAGTAATAAATATCTCTACAGCATTCTGAAATTTCTTTGCATTGATTTCTTATACAAAAGCAACAATTAAGTGGTTAATCTCCTCTATTAGACAAAATTAATAACGAACTACTTCCCTTCCACAATACGCTTTAGCAATCGTTTCACTATCTCTCACAGAAATTCGAGATCATAAGTGTATAAAGTAGAAGAAACTAGTGCTGTAGAAGTAACGAGAAATTGTGTACCCGTATGTATTCGTTACTCGGTGAACCAGTACTCGTTACTATCGTATAGTTACTCGTTACTTTCGGTAAAATCGATCGGTATCCGTATCCTGAGCCTATTTTATCGGTATACGGCCTATGCGATAGGGAATTTTGCGTCGTATTTTTGGGTAGAAATAATTCACCTCCTTTTGTGGTGTCACAAAAGTCAGAAGCGCCTACGGGAGGCCGCCAGGAAAATGGGAAAAAATAAAATAAATAAAATAAATATTACAATAATAACATTAATTAGTAATTAAAATAATAAAAAATTACTTATTAAAAACTTAATAATTAAAATAATAAAATATAGTGATTAAAATAATGAATAATAAAAGTAACATAATAATTAGCAACTGAAATATAAAATACTTATAAGTAAAATTTAACAAAACTGTAAAGACAAATATAAATTAAAATAATTCTTAAATTTATGATGAATAGTTAAATTATTAAAGTAAAAGACCAGACCTTGTCTTATTGGCTTAGTATCTTTTCGTCCTTTCTCATTTCATCCCAGCTTCAAAAAGTGTCATTTTGTTCGCTGCCTTTCCTCACCAATTCCCTCTTTCCCGTTTTATCCGCTGTTTGAAAAATAGGTGTTTACTTTACGATAAGACGAATGTCTGTTTACTTCAATTAAAATGGTTTAGAAGAGATGACTGTTTCTACTTCGACTTAGCTTTTGATTTCTAATACTATTTATTATTTTATGCAGACGAATTATGCTAAGCAGAAGAATGAATTTCAGACGTGTTCAGAAGGTGTTGTATCTGAATATAATAACATTTTGTT